TTGCAAGGATCTGTTCAGTAACTCAGAGAACAAGAACTAGTCAGTAAGTGTGCTGTTAGAAAACAGAGGGGTGAATTTCTGAACAATCTGGAAGCAGTAATGTAACTAGTGATGAATTAGGAAGACAAAGAATGTGGAGAATGGGACCATAGTAAATGCACTAGTGGTTAACGTGTGTAAATGTCGGGCCATGGGCATCAGCATGTCAGGCTTCTTTCTGTCTATGAAGGACTAAGCATTTGCACATGGAGACAGAGTTGGCTCTTTGGCTACTCCTGACACAGCAATTGGACACATCTGTCAGTAACTCAAGAGACGTAGCTAAATCCAGTGAAGCCTCCTACTTAAGCACAGGCACCTAGGCGTCATAACATCTGGATTTTAGATACAGCAGCAGACGCAAGATCACCGCAACTCCATCTATAAAGCAGCTTAAGCCTTCACCTAACTAAAATATTGGCGTCGTATTTATGGGCTTCAGAAGCTGGGCGCGCAAACTGCCAGCTACCCACAGCTAGAGAGCAATTAATATCAGTACAGTTTTCCTCAATCTGAACCCAACAGAAACACAGTCTAATTTCTTTCCTTGGGGTTAGTTACTTATGGAGCTCACTGCTGGCCAACACGGTGTCTGCTCGGAAGTTGACAGGTGCAGTGGGGTAGAATTTTAGGCAGAAATGAAAGGGAAATCATCTAGTCCAGAGGGCTATACTGTCATTCCAGGTTATCTCAACTGTTAAATTTATCAACCAAACCATCGTAGTCTTCCGTTTTTTATGTGTGCGCTGTCTCTTCCTCACCTATCCCACGCCCACTACTCCTGTTACAACTTCCAATCCTCTCATACACTAATTCTCTGCAATGCATTTCTAGTTTGTTACTACCTCCCTCTTTTGAGAGTTTGTCTATGACTCTGGGTGATCGTCTAATGGAAAGCAGTTTCCAAGTCCTAACAAATTCGTTGTCCTGATATCAGCTGCATGTTCCTTTCAAAATGAATCAACGTACTTTATCTGCATCAGATTTGCAGCAATCAAGAGGCCAAATCCTCAACAATGCGATCCGTCATATGTCTATAAATTTTACAAAACAGTAAAGCCCAACTATCAATAAATCGTTAGTTTTATACAAGTTTGCCTCCCTTGTGCACTAAATTCTAATCATCAACAGGGATATGCTGGTTACTATTATGCTTATTTTCCTGCAAACTAATGACCTTAAACTGTATGTGTATATAGATATCAACTTGAAATATCATATGATATATTATATAAGCCGTCTGTTTGGGTATTTCATTTCTCTTAGTTTCTCTTTTTTAGTCTTCACTACCTACACTAATTATATCTGTTATTATATCTTTTTTCGACCACGCCGGACGACTGAATGGTGAAAGGATCAACTCCATTCACAGTAGTAACACAGTCTTAACACACCGCATACCACAAACTACACATACTTAATCCAAAGCTGCTACAGTCGAGTGAAGGGACAAACTACGCAGAAGTTTACCGAAGGCCAAAAACCTTTGCCTCACAACTCAGAAGCGAGCACAAAGAAATCAACTTAGTTTACACTAGATCGTAACAATGATATTAGATATTGAGCGGTATTGAATATTGGATCCATCCTACAGTTTGATCACATTGTAGCGGTAAATAATTCCCCAAAATTATTAACCACAGCAATCATCACTCAACATTGGATGCTGACCATCACTGTTTAAGTCGACTTGTTTAGCTGAAGGCTTACGGTCAAGCATCCCCGCCATTTGGTGCTTCGTCGTGTCACGTGCGTGCACGATTACTAGCTAGCTAAGCATTCATTCCTACCCGCGATTTGGTCCCAAAATATATATCGTATTTGGACGACAAAATCTGGTCTTTTGCTTTACCATTTGGTACTCGAAGAACGAACACTATAGTGGTTGTTGGTATAAGATCTTGCGTTAGTATAATCCGTACAACTCGCGAACGTTCGATACCTTCAATCCCTAAACTGGTGAGCCCAACCACGAACTACATCTTCAATTCACACGCAGATAATCCCGGTGAGTTCGTTCCTTTTTGTGTCTATTCTTGTACTATATTGTTATCGGCACACTTTTCGTCATGACTGACCATAGCCCCAAGGTTATTCGCATACGCTCAACCGCCAAAACAATCCAGCTAGTACCATATTGGCCAGATAATGCTGCAACGTGGTTTCAGATTGCTGAGTCTGATTTTTGTGAACATGGCATAACTGATCAACGTTCACAGTTCCTTGCGGTTATTCACGCTCTACCGCGGGAATTCAGCAGGTGCGTAACTCTGCAGATGTCGGTAAGTAACTCGTACGAGTTGCTAAAAGCATCCATACTCAAGAGAAACGTTCTCACAGATCGACAACGTCTGGACGAGTTATTTCGTAACATCGAGTTAGGAGATCAGTCAGCCGTGAGCATGCTGGCAAGAATGAAAGAGATCATTGGCCAAAGTCAGTTCGATGAAGGACTGTTCAGAGAACTATTTTTATCCAAACTGCCACAGTCAGTTCAGACTGTACTTGTGACACTTCAAAGTGTTCTCATAGATGATTTAGCTGTCTCTGCAGATAGAATTCTAGAGATAACGAAACGGCCAGTTACTGAAGTATACTCAGTTACCGAACAGACTTCGAAGAAGGATTCTGCAATGATAGAGTTAATCAACTCCGTCCAGCAGATGCTTAGGTCAAACAAGCCTAGCAATTCCTCCTATCGTCGTTCTAAATCCCCTCAACGGCTAAACGCACGTGGACGATCTAAGTCCAACACACGTTCTCTCAAAAATCCTGACTGGTGTTGGTATCACAACACCTATGGCAAGGAAGCGAAATGTTGTCGAAAACCTTGTGATTTCGGCAAAGCCTCCAAGTCTGTGGGAAACTATCCCGCCGGCACGCGTTAGCGGCAACCGTCGCCGGTGGCACTAGCCGCTTATTTTACATCCACGATGTAATTAGCCAGAGTAGACATCTAGTCGACACAGGCGCCGAAGTCAGCGTCCTTCCTGCTACAGCAGCAGATCGACAGAAGGATCCTAACTTCAACCTACAGGCTGCAAATGGAAAACCAATTGCAACCTATGGTCGGAAATACGTCTATCTGAACGTAGGTTTACGCAAACCTATTCGGTGGATTTTTCTAATCGCTGACGTCACAATGCCCATCATCGGCACGGACCTACTTAATCATCATGATTTGCTCGTAGACGTCCGCCGTAAACGACTAATTGACAACACTACTAGTTTGTCTATCAAAGGCATAACTTACAGTGGCCCCAGCTTGTCAATCGTTAAGATGAAAGCAATCCTCGATCCAACTTTTCAACCGATTGTTGACAAATATCCGGAACTGAATTGCCCATCTGACGACCTCCCGTGTATAACCAGCAATGTTATGCACCACATCATAACCTCAGGACAGCCCGTGACATCTAAAGCACGACGACTGGCCCCTGACAAACTGAGAATTGCCAGAAACGAATTCGATCATATGCTCACCCTTGGCATCATTCGGCCATCGAATAGTCCATGGGCATCCCCGTTGCATATGGTACCGAAAAAGGATAGCAACGATTGGCGACCCACTGGTGATTACCGGCGAGTGAACGCCAAAACTACCCCCGATTGTTACCCATTGCCTCACATACACGACTTGACGGCAACGTTATCTGGAGCATCTATATTCTCCAAAATCGACTTGGTTAAAGCATATAACCAAATTCCCATGGCAACGGAAGATATTCCGAAAACGGCTATCATCACGCCTTTCGGACTTTTTGAATTTCTACGTATGCCATTAGGCCTCCGGAATGCGGCCCAAACATTCCAACGCTTCATCAACGAAGTATTTCGCGGTCTCGACTTTGTATACGCATACTTAGACGACTGCCTCATTGCCAGTCCAAATAAGGAAACTCACCTTAGACACTTGGACTTGGCATTTGAAAGGTTACGCCAACATGGTGTTACCATCAATATACAGAAGTGTCAAATAGGCACTGACTCACTCGATTTTCTGGGTCACACTATTGACTGTCAGGGCATTCGCCCACTGGCTACTTCGGTCGATAACTCTAAGAAAACGCGTTCTGGACGTCACGTTAGATTTCCAGAATACCTTCACACCTATCTCACATAACTGAGTGACACATCAATTGTTTTTTATGTTGCGTCATTTAACACAAGTAAATGATATTTTTCCTATAACCGTACATAAAATTAAATTAGATGTATATATTTTTTCCCGATATTTTGAACTTAACATTATTTTACTGTATAGTAAATGCATGCCATATATTTTTGGTAAAAAGACGCTTATTTGGTACATTTTTCTTGACAAGGTTCTCAGCATTCTTGTTTTCTTTTCCAGGTGCAACGGGCACTGGACAGGAAACAAACGAAGCACGGGATCCAACGAACAACATTGAGGAAGCTATGTACAGACACCCTATTAGCATAGGAAGACAGACCAGCAGGCACTCCATCAAGCCGCTCGGAAGATTTTTTTCACCCGTCTGGGAACCATCGAGATTTTTTACTTCCGGCTGGTCATGTCTTAAGGTCCTCACAAACCCACTAGGGGGGGAGTGAGCTGTAGCGGTAAATAATTCCCCAAAATTATTAACCACAGCAATCATCACTCAACATTGGATGCTGACCATCACTGTTTAAGTCGACTTGTTTAGCTGAAGGCTTACGGTCAAGCATCCCCGCCATTTGGTGCTTCGTCGTGTCACGTGCGTGCACGATTACTAGCTAGCTAAGCATTCATTCCTACCCGCGATTTGGTCCCAAAATATATATCGTATTTGGACGACAAAATCTGGTCTTTTGCTTTACCATTTGGTACTCGAAGAACGAACACTATAGTGGTTGTTGGTATAAGATCTTGCGTTAGTATAATCCGTACAACTCGCGAACGTTCGATACCTTCAATCCCTAAAACATCATTTCACTGTGTTGTCATGTCGTTAGAGTCTACACAGAGTTAAACAGATGCCGCCTAAAAAGGTTAAAGCTGAAAGTACAAATACTAAGCCTAAGAAGATTGATAAACTTACTCCGAAAGAGGCTATTCTTGATTACCAGATTAGCAATCTTCGCGAGCTGATTTCTAGGCTTCATTTTAAACGAGAATCACTTCGAAATATTCTGACTGAGAAATTGGACGACCTAAGGAGGCTTAAAGAGCAAGGCGAAATTTTGTTCAAAGAAACATCTTTGAAGCTGATAGAGTTTTCAAATGTGGAGAAACCGAAAGTGTCGAGTGATGATACAAAATTATATCTGCTTGAAACTTGGAAGATTCGAGATGACGAAGTAAAAGGAACCAACTCGATTGAAAACGAAATAGAACTTACAAAACGCCTTGTGAAAGATGTAATAATGGAGCTGAGAGAGTGGAAGACCTATTCCAATGAAACCAGAAAATTAAATGATATGCGCATCCGAACACTTGAAAAAGAGTACATCAACATGAAAGACCGTTTTCAGTCCATGGTTAAACATTTAGCTAACACAGAGAATCAGAGGGAACAGCAAGTTCGGGTGAAAATCGAAGGCTTTTCAGAGAATATCAGGAATTCAACAGTGGAAAATCTAGTCAACAAGTTAAATAAAACATTCTCTCAACAAATGCTCCAAAACAAGTGGCTAGTAATAGAGAATAAATCACTTGCAGAGAAAATAGAACAAATTTCCAGTGAAATTGATATTCTACAGAAAAAGAACTTGGAGGCTGTCGGAGAAATCTTTAACAATAACTTGCCTCACATAATGATGCCTTTATCCTTTAGTGACAACCAGGTGACCGAAACGGATAACCTCCACACTAGTGACACTTTCGACTTAGGGATATGCCACAGGATGTTTGAATTTACAAGTAACCAGGGTAACTCGAAATGACCTGGGATCACTTTTCACTTTTAGAATTTTCTTGTTCGAAAGACAAACACAGTGTACGCGAAAAGTGCGAAAAGGAACATCCGAGTATCGTCGATCAGACTACTGTTACAATGGAAAAACGGCTCCAGTCTTCTTACTACACGAACAATGACGTTGCGCAAGACCAGAATTATAAGCCACAATGTATTATAGCCCTTGGACCACTTGAGAAACAAGCCATATTTCTGAAAGGTTCTCCTTTGAAAATTGATCACTTCGAGAATTTCAGTTCTCCTGAGATTCAAGCAAACTTGAAGTTTAACCCAGATCTTGAAAACTGGCCCATAAATAAGGATATGCTTCTAAATTATCTCTCTAAAACCAGCTAGGATCTGGTTCTTAAAGCCTTAGAGTGAGTTTTGAATTTTCATGCGAAAACAGCTTCTTATCGTCATTTATTATTTGAAATATTACTGATATTTTGTCATTTTTGATAAGCTACAACTATTGTTTCTTCAGTCTGGCGACCAGGCACTTTGGCAAGACATTTGTTTTGGTAAAAGTCTACGCTTAAACATTATTTTGGAGAGCATAATTGTATTTCCATTTCTTCTTTATAATTCAAAGTTCTGCTGGTTTCTAGTTGATTCGGGTCAAATTAGGGGCAAAGCTGCGTTAGAATATAGTCATATTACAATCTTATTCGTAGTGGGCTTTTCAGAGCGATGACAAGTTTTAATCTTATTTGAAGTATCAGAAGATACAGACCACTGACTACGTCTTGATATATTCATATTGCTCAAATTCTTCCTCCATCATTTTCTTCTAAACTGAAGCTTATTATGAAGTTTTGAGCAATTTGTAAACGTTATCATTTTAGAAGTCTAGTATAAAACAGAAAATGTGTTTTCTGTTATTTTCCTGCTTTAAAATTTTTCAAATCCAACTGGTGTTTTCGTTTCTGGAATTATTCAAAAATAATCTCTTACACTGTGAGCCGCGAAACTTAAGTATGCTTCGCCCTTATCTATACTTTCACTACAACCACTACATCAAGAAGTTAAAAAATTCTGGTATAACCCAACCCTTACTCCTACAATTCGTTAACTCTCGCAGTCTACCTATTATTCTCTATTGTTCCTCCTTAGTTTCTCCCGAGCTACTGAGTAAAGACTATAACATATTACGCAGGATGTTAAAGGTTGTCAGCAGGGTAAGCAATGTGCCACTTAGCCAGCTTGTTAATATTCTGGTCGACAGGCACATGGACTCATGTGAAAAATGGGTCACATCCATTTTATCTAACTCACAACCCTCCCCTTGCATCTCATCAGGTAAAACCAGAAGCCTATATAGAAAACTATATGCTCGCACCAGCAAGTACAAAAACTCAACCATACCCTACTTAGCTCGTGTTCTGTGCGATAAAGAAAGCATTAGGCGTGACACCTATAATTCATTAAATAGTCAGTAGAACAACTAGATCTCGTCTTTCCAACTCATATCATTTATAGGTACAACATTTTCTTTCTTTCTTTTCCTTTTCTCTCTCTCTCTTTGATTTTCCGTCATGTGCTGCTTTGTTTCTTTCTCTCGCTTACGCTCGTAAATATGACAGCTCCAACTTTTCTAACACCTTCAAACAATGTTCAACTTTGGCTTTGCTACCGATATGCCAATGTGTTGTTGTAATAATGAACTGTGATTTCCTTAGTCTATGTAGAATTCTATTTATTGATAATGTACTAACTGGATGCAATACTGTAGTAAAAATGCTGAGAATTCCATTCTGTATCACAAGTACTGTTTTGGAATAAAGCAAATTATTATTATTATTACACATCCTCCTTATACGCCACGAAACTGATGAAACCGAATGAGATTCTTGTCGTGTTGTTTTCAATAAAATAGGTTAACAAAATTTAAGGGACTGAAACTTGCTCAGTGTTATTACTCACAGGTCCCGATATTAAACACTATTACTTCGCGTGTTGTATGGAGTGCATTTCACAACATTTTAATGGCATCAGAAATCCAAATATGTCATATCCGCTAGAATTATGGCCTGACAACAGATTACATTTAGGCAGACCGACTTTATTCTACCTAGTAAGGAAATTTTATTATTTGTTGCTTGCATTCCGAGTGGAACATATGGCTTCAGAAGCAGATTTCCATCTCATGAAGCTTTCCGAAATCAGTTTCCATGACTTCCCATAGGTTCTAACTTCCTCCTCATAAGATGTCCTCAACGTCACCGTCGGATGCCCAAAACGCCACTTCTATTTAGCTCTCCAACCGAGGACTTGGGTTGTGATGCTACTCAACGACCGTTCAGTCCATCTTCATTCCCTTCAGCAGAGTTCCTTATCCCTTAACCTTCCCGGTCGATCATCTCATCATCAGTATTGACTGGGAGTGGGAGGTGTTGATGGAAATCCACCGTAGCCCTCTGTAAATCCTTCTAGTGACGCACTTCCCAACTCCCTGAACCATATAGAAGCACTGACTAACTTGACATTAGTGTTCAACATAATCCGAGTCTTGCTCCTTATACTGAGTTGAGTGCATCAGATTTCTACGCTGATTTCAGATGAATCAAGATCTGTCTTACTTTATCTCGGCTTTGACTTCTTTATCCATGCTGCCTGTTGCTAGGATGTTGCTGGACAGCTAGTTGAGTGAAACAGGAAACTTACTTTCGATTTGTCTCGTTGACAGTTGTCGGTACTTGTTGTTGTCGTTGTTGGTTGGGTATGTACATCATGTCTATCCTCGTTTTTTCACTTGCAGTCCTGTATTTCCTGCTCCTTCTGCAAACTTGTTTGCTTCCATCTGCAGGTTTCCGAGTTTGTATGAAATTAGAGATAAATTGTTGACAAACTCAGATCTTCTAAAGTCTTCTTGTCGGTCTAACGAATGATTCCTTTCTATCTTCCATGCTATGCTTCGTTAGATGATGATAATAATTTGTAGTGTTGCAATTCGGCTCTCACATGATTCGCTTTCTCTGAATCCAGCTGGTTGTGGTCGAAATCCACCACACAGAGCATGTTTTAATCTCTCCTGGATGATGCAGCTTAATGTTTTGCATACTGTCTGCAGGAGAATAACTCTGTACCAGTTCCTACATAGGCTGTAGTCACCCTTTTCTAGAAGTTTAAGAAGATGGAACTTCTCAGTATCGGCAGGCACCTTTCCTTCCTTCCAAAGCTTTCCGAGTAGTTATGTGAGCTAATCTGGTGGACTCTGTGGGTTCACTTCTAGTTCTCCAAGATGGGATTGGGAGAGGGGGTAATCGCATCTAGTCCTGCAGGATTTAAGTAGACTTTTATCCTTCAAGACCTCTGCTTTGTTGGAGGATCGATGTCCACTGGCAATTCTGTGAGTGCTTGTAGTATTCTTGGACGAGTTGCAAGTGGTGGTCGATTCAAGCGACATTTGAAGTGAACAATCCGTTGTTTCATCTCTTCCATCGCTTTGGTAATTGGGTTTATTTCAATACCATGGATTGGTTTCGTCTGCGTTGAACCCGTCATAGGTAGCTACCTGGCTATCTGATATGGCATTCTCAGGTGTCCCTTATCTGAGGCCTGTTGTGTTTCACTGGTCATTGTGTCGTAACATCGTCTTTTGTCCTTATTAGTACCCTCCTTAGCCCTTTTTTCCATTGCTCTGTATGTAGTATTCAGCTTCTCCTTTGGTTATACATCATCTCACCTGTTCATATTTTTTTGTTACCATCTTCCTGTCCTGTATGAAGTTACACATATCCGTAGAGAGCCACTGCTTGTATTTCCTGTTTTTCCTCCCTAAAGCGACTGGCTAATTAGATGGCTGACTATACAGGCTTCGTTCGTCTGGTCTTCAAAGAAATCCAGTATTCCCTGATTCTGCTTCCCTTGGTGCTGTTGATTAATGCATGTGTGTCCTTCTTCTCTTGATCTGAGATGTTTGTAGGCGAGTAGAATTGGATGATGATTTTAACTCTCCTTCCTTTTGAGTTGACTGTTGCGGTGATTATCCTGGGGAGATTGGTTCCCACAGTAAAAGAGGCTTCGGTGCTGTTGGTGACATCATGATAGATAATCCGTCAGTGTGTTCATGGTTGTTGTCTTGGACAATGGGTAACCAGAATAGATTACTGACTTTCCAGTTAGCCACTTGGAAAGTCCACTTACATTCTATCTACTTCTACAGATTCGAAGCAATTTTGTAGCATATTTTCTCATTTCTTTTGCAATCTGATCATCCTTGTTAGCAGCTTCGAAAATCGTACGGACATTCCACGTCCTCATGTATGTTTTTGCATTCATCTAAGAATACACATCGCCTTGCTGGCTGATAGGCTTCTGGAGGGCTAACACGAGGCCAGGTAATTTCATCTTTCCGAGTGCAGAGAAGGATAAGTTTATCCTCTATATCTTTACTGTGCTCTGGAGTGTCTACAAACCTTGGATTGATTCTCCGGTTAGAGTTGCCAGTCCAACACCCAATCTTCCCTGTTATTCCAAGGATAGAACCGGCTAGTAAAACAGTATTGTATTGGACTACAAATCCGATGTTACGTATTATAAGTAAGGATAGTGAAACTGGAAACTATGTATGAGATGAGATTTCCTAGTAAACAAAATGATCGATGTGATGAAATTTATGGCAAATAATAATACTAACGGCAATGGAAATAATACTAATATTAATATCGATGAATCACACTAATGCGTACAGATGCTAATGACAACAAGGGTGTATGTAACCGTCCTGACAAGGGATTGTTTCAGATGAATGAAGAACAATGATGATGGTGTGATGACGATGATAACAAGAGGAAGAAGAAGAAGAAGTAGGAGGGGAGATGGAATGTGAATATTTGTGTCACTAATAATATGAACGGTCAGTATGCAAGACATGCCACCATGTTGGATTCAGAGTGACGACCGTTTCGTTGTGTACATGAAGACTAGTGATATAGACGCTAATTGCACACGCCTCCACTTCACAGTTGAAAGCTGCTGTCTGGT